ATGGTCTTTATCTGCCGTATTGTGGGCAACTTTCCACAATTTTGTGTCGTCAGGAGCAAGGTGACATCATAGTCCAGGTTCCTAACAGCGTCATTTGTAAAAACAAAGAATAACGTGGGACCTAAAACGGAACCCCGTGGGATGCCATCTCACCACGGTTACTGTTGTTTAATTCCAAGGTGCATCGAACACTGCGTTAGCGCTCAAAAGATTGGCTGCATAAATGGTTGAATGATAAATTAAAGTTTGGTCGACCCCAGTGGCACGTTCGTCTGAGTAAATCAGAGCGGTCGTGCATGTCTGCTAGCTACAGTAAATATTTCTTTTTTATAATATTTATATTCTCTACTGTCTCGTTCCCACTGATTTTTACGACGAAGCCTTCTTATCCACCATCTCCAGTTCAAGATACACCCCGTATCTTACCCATCCTTATGACTAATCATGATTATGAATTAAAGTACGGTCGCTCATTGATAGGCACCGTCCGCATGCAATTCTCTCTCCGCAATATGTGTAACCCATTTAAGGTCCACGAGAAAAATGCTTATGTTCACAGTTATCTTTCCTGCTATTTGACTACCTAACAATTGTGGTGTCTTCCCGGAACATGTAATTGACGTGATTTTTAAAAATTTATTTGTATCCATTTATTTCCTATCATCTTGTTACCGATAGGGAGTTCAAAGGCGTTCGCCTCTCTTTCCCTCAATAAACTGATACTGATACGTCATTTGCGTTCTTTCTGTTCTGCTTTCAGGTTGGAGCCTTTCTGGAGAAAATGGCAGCGGAAGGTTACATAACGCTTGAAGTGGAAAAGCCGGGAATCCTTATTCTAACTTCAGTTTGCCAGAGTCACCCAAGGTACAGCTCGGCTGATATTTAATGCTCTGTCAGTCAACGACTTCCCGTCTCCTCTGTTTCCACCCTCATCTTTCAGACTCGAGGAATTAGCCACACAGCCGGAAACTGTTGCCGCCTGTTCACCCAAGAAATCAAGCTTTTGTGTTGAGGACTTCTACTTTGGTCCGCCCGTTTTAGAAGAGGTTCGTATTATCTCATCCGCGGCCGCGCCCTTCTTCGCCGCGGCCGGTCTTGTGTAAGTCTTAGTATACTTTTCTCCTTATCCTTTTGTCCCCTTCTCTTTCCTGCTTCTAGCAAGGTGTTCTCATTAAAGTCATAAGGGTGAAGAGTTTCGTTAGTTGGGCCGGCCCAGCATGTCCACTACCGGGTTGTTCGCCTGTGGAGAATCGGCAGTTTGTTTAACAGCTTCATTTGCGGCTGCTACGACTGATGCCCCTAGGCAGTCAGGAAGTCGAGTAAAATGCAGACTGTTTTTCAAAAGAGGATTACTTGTACAGAATTTAAGTCTAGAAATTATGTCCTTCAGATTTCTAACGCATAATTTTTTTTAACTAGGTAAGTACACTTGATTTTGCCCTTGTTATAGCAGTATAACCAGGGTAATCTGCCAAAATCTCAAAGCCGTAGATTTAAATAGCTGAGTCTGGTTAAAATTCCTTTCAGTGGAGTT